CGGTTGAAAATGTGAATTCCCCAAATTAAACAGCAATATTATTTTGAACGTTTCTGTTCCTTCACAGCGACATGAGTATTTTTCAGTGGGTACAGTTTTTGTTACCCAATCACCAGCCTATACTCTGCCGGCTGGTTAAGAACGAAAATGCGCTGTGCAAAAGAGCCATGACTCCTGGGCATAGACCTGAATGACATGCTTCCTGCAGTCACAATGCAGCTATTTGTTGATGGTGTGGAATCCTTTTCAATGATAAAGATGGCACACGGGAAGTAAGCAAGGAAACGTGCATGCTGTCGATGACACTTTGTACCCTTGGGAAGTCTGTCATATGGGTAAAGCCTAATGTTTATGTTGTCACAGGATTGAAATGAATGACAAGGTTTTATCAATATCTCTTCTTCACTCTTACAGCAATGGAAGATGCGTCAAGGATTCCCAGTTTCAAAAGGCGTAGTTTGTAAAAGCTTTCTATATAAATATATTGCAGTAATAACTGAACCAGAATAACAGGCAACAAATCAAAATGGAAACAGCTATGTTTCATTGCACTAAGGAAAGGTTAAGAAATATGGATGATTTGAACTGTACTGCATGGCAGGAACAGGTGGACAGGCAGTTAAAGTAGTTTACACATTGACATCGAGCACAGATCATAGAGTAACAGGGCTGGATTTTATGGCACCTTCCCTGGACATGGGCAACAGATTTGCAGGTGGCAGCACCTATAAAATGCCATAACTTCTGTGCCTGCTGCCTACCACCTACGCCAGCAGTGGGGTAAGGTTTTGGGAGACTAACCTGTCCATGGCTAATTGAACCCCTTAAGTGATGAATTAATGGGCACTTGAGGGCTCATCTCTGCTGTTAGGATTTTCCTAGTGGCAGAGACCCATGCCAAATAGCCAGTCCTGCAGCTTTCACTGTGTGGGGTAATGGCAGGGAATGAGGTAGTGTTTCCTTAACTGTGACACTGAGTCCACTGAGGTGCTGCTCCCAGGCTTCCCCATCACCCTTCCCAGTTCCTCTCCAAACAAGGCCTCTAACTCTGGTCCACATATCTCCATTTCCTCCCTCAACAGGGTCTGTCAGTCTAGCCCCAGCAATAACCCCACACTTATCTGGCTCCAACACCCCACTCTGGCTCCATGGGGACTGGATGCTGTTCTAGGAGTGGCCACTATTCCCATTGGCACTGCTGGGATGGGAGTGCTATCAGTTGTCTGACTGTTCAGCAGCTCTCAGAGATAGGACCTACTGCCTAGATGGTGCTGAAAGTCTCACCTTAAACTCTGGAATGAGTCCATCACCAACCCTTTCACCAGGGGATGTTGGGAGCCTGGTGCCACATAACCTCTGGCCCAGAAAACCATATAATGATTACAATGAAGAAGAAGATCATTTAGCTCATTCTGTCCTTGCCAGCTTTCTGCAAGAGCAACTCAAGTAGTCCAATGTTTCCATCCTCTCCTCATAAGCTTGCAAACTATTTCTCCTCAGAAAATTATCTAATTCCCTTTGAAAATCATGAAAATCTCTCTCTACCATGCTCTCAGGCAGTGACTTCCGGATTCTATCAACTCACTATGCAGCTTTACCTCCTGCTGCCTTTAGTTCTTTTCCTAGTTACCTGACAACAGCAAAATGGCTCTGAATCTCAAATCTTCCACCAGTGGCAACAATTTCTCTCTATCTGCTTTGTCCAGGCCCCTCATGATTTTGAATACAAATCAATACTCTGTTATCATATAATATGGCATGAAAAGATGTCTGAAAATTACATATTTTCCTTATCAACTTATTCAGAGAGGTTCATACACACCTCTGGAGTTGGGGGTGGGGTGGGGTTGAACACAGGCCTCCTGGCAGAGGTAAGGAGGGAAGCCTTCTCCCTTCAAATTACCCACTTGTCATTCCGAACGGACAAGATCTTTCCATTCATAAATCTGGCTTATGGACATCATTCTCAACCCAGTTATGGGTTAGGATGGTATCACTGAGCCAGTTCTCTAATTGCAAACATCTCACCTACACATGTACCCAGGTACCTTTAAATCAAGCTCTTTTTCCACATACCAATATTTTCTTTAGATGCTGATCTATACATTCTAAAACCCTAAAGTACTATGCACCATACTTACCTCCACATTAACAGACTTTAAGGAAAATCCAAAAAAGATGGGGAAGTTAACATATGCTACTAATTCCTAGTGGAAAATGCGATATAAACATGAACTAAGTGGAACTTCGTATCTTAGATATCTATGATCTATCAGAGTTTTAATATGGGGAATAAAGACAACACTCATCTCTTTCCCATACAATCCAGTCTTGGACGAATGCCATCCATTGATTTCAGAAAGGCCTACCAGACCCACTGGGACCTTCATGAAAGCATAGGCATTACTTTGTCCAGTTGAATATCCAGTTGAATTAGAAGAATATCTTCTGATTTGAAATTAGCCTCAATGAGAGAAGATACCATGAACTGAGCCTTAGTTATTTTGTTTGTGTTACTGGACTATTTGTTAAAGTGTGCTTGAGGATCCCCATAAACTGTGGAATAGTATTAGGTAAACTTACAGTTGTGAGCTAGAGGCAAGTTTTCTTTTATGTAAAGATCGTATCTTTTCACTATTCAGTACTTTTGATTGTGGATTGAAATGGAAAATAGCTGTTTTAAAAGCTAAGGATTGTTGAAGCATTTTTTATTGCACTTTTCGAAAGCAAGTAACCTGATACTCATAGTAAATGTTGTTTACACAGTCATTTGTGCTAGCACTGGGGGAAGGTCGAGTTACAGATGCGCTGGAGTGTGATGCATAGAGAGTTGACTGGCAACAAACAGCTGATTGATCTGTGGACTAGTGTCCAGTTATCAATAACAAAGGGCTCCTGCCTGCTAATAACTATGTGATTGGCTCCCAGGTAATTGAACAGCTTGGAGGTGTGAACGTTTGGGTTAGAAGACACTGGACTGTTGGAGGGGAAGGATCTGTGTTTGCTTTAATGTAAAAAGAATCTCAAGCCTGAAGAAAGCATTCCTCCTTGGCAGATGTTGTAAGCTGCGGTTTTTCAACCAGTTTGTCAGAGACATTATAAGTGTGAACCAGCTGCCCATGCCTCTTGAAAATCAGCGAAAGTACTTGGTGAAGGAAGATCAAGGAGTAGCATGTCTTGCAAGCAAAAGGGATCATCTCACCAAACCATGTGGACAGACTCCATTAAACTGCCTTTCTGGTCTTTCTTTCTGCCCATAACACCCATGTTTCATTTCTGTCTGTGCCTGTACGTGTGCTTAGAGGGGTTTATAAGGGGTTAGAGTATTAACTTATATATATGTATATATGTATGTATATACATCGGCAGTTCATACTTGTTTATCTGTAGAATCTATTTATTTGTAATAAATAGTAATTCTTTGTTAAATTCAGAAATCTGGCCTGTGCTTTCTGCCAATCTGGGTCTAACAGACAGGGACATTGGGAAAATGTGTGTACTTTTTAAAACTTTAACTTCTGTGATGTCTCCCGGAATAGTAGTTTTTTCAACAAGCATTTTCCAGCACCCTACACTAGTGAGGCAATATCACTAAGAAACATGCTAATCGAATGTTCAAAAATATTACGTAGATAAGGACATGTATTTAAGTACTTACTTTTAAGGGCTTTTTCATAAGTCTGTGAAACAATATACATTTTGGGGCATGTATCCATTACGACATAATTAAAATTTGTTTAATTTAATGCAGTTTAATGTAAAAAAAGTTTTCTTTAAGCAAAAGACACTGAGCCCTGTTCAAACTGCTTATTTTTAAAAATCAAACAGAATAATCTTGAAAATAAACTTGGCAGCTCTGTATTTCTCTGATCCCACCAGTTTCTAAGGATTGAGTTTGCTGTGGATCTCAGATACAAAGATTGGGTGTTGCAGCCCCACTATATCTGCTTTTAGGGGTACGCAAAATGATATGCTAGGTAGGAGAATGCAGCAAGCATTCTATGTTAACAGTAAAGCTCAACAGCTATGACCATATAATCCTTTTCTGTTCCTTTTTTTTGCAGGAGGATTATTGGTCTGGAAATCTGGAAAACATCCCCCTCTTCTTTCAATATTGTCATCACTTGAACTCAGAGAAAAACAGAAAGAAATGAGGCCTCGGAATGTCTCTTGTAAGCATTGTACATGGTTGTGAAATGTGAGAAATAATTTATTCTAAAATGCAGCAGGCTCTAAGTGTAACAGCAATCTTCTCAACAGAACCATGGACAGAGTCTTTGGTATTATCTCAATTTTCATCAGAAATTAGCTGACGTTGCCAAAATCACCTTCAGCTCAATCGCTGTTACTCCTTCAACAAGTACAAAAACTGCCTCCCTCGATGAAGAAACTTGTGGTAGGTGCTATTTTAAGGCAAGTCACTACAAGTATAGGCTTTCCTAACTATTAAAGGCAGAACTTTATGACATTAAAAAGTCAGGAGCAAATAAATAAATTCCAGTTACAAAAAACATTTGATATCCTTTCTTCTAAATCTATCAAATAGTCTCTTAAAATATAAAATAATTCATAATTTAGTTATACAGGTACTAAAGTGTGTCATACAATACACAGCAATCAACAACAGCCTAGTGTGGTTGTTGTATTGTATTGGGTTCTTGCCCATTTTAAACCATCATCAAATGAATATGATAGATGGCTCTCTTCTATCTGTTACTGTTCTTGTGCGACTAACAAAAAGTGCTGGGAGTGAAATACTTGTCTTCTGCTAAAAGTATTCATTTCCTCATTTTTTCTCCTTGTTTTGCAAATAGGTAAATTCAGCTCTGTAACTAACCATGTTGCAGAAAATACAATTTCTGGAAGAATGAATGGGTGAGATATCTATTGTGGCACATCCCACTACAGTGACCACCCAGATGTAGAAGCTGGAAGAACAGTAAATGTCGATTATATTTTTTCTTATATAATTTCTTAGGTCTAAATGACAGGATACTCACGGGGCAGTGAAAATTTCAGGTTTTGCTGCAATACATAAGTTAGTTGCCGAGAGAGGAGAGTGGAAGCCATCTTAGATTTCAAGGACTGAAGGTTCACAGGAAATGCAACTTAAACTCCCAGCCAATTCCTGCAGAAGAGAAAACAGACATCAATCTAGCAGGGACTCATCAAGTTATCCGTCTTGCACTGAAGGATTTTCATTTTCCATTCATGTTACTTTGCTGCTGTTTGTGCTACATGGCTTTGTGCCTCAAGAAGTTCTGCTAATAAAAATCTGCATATAACTCTTATATTAGAGAAAGCAAAGTAAATTACATAACCATGCTGTCCTGTGGCAGATCGGTGCTACATGCATCAATTTAATGCTTTAGGCAACAACGAAATTGGAATTGGTGTCATAGAAGTCCCCACATTGACAGTACTTTTATAGAAAAGCCTTTGAAGATTATTCCCATCAATGCACCAGAAGTTGTTTTGGCATGTTAAGTAATGTTTTTTAAACAGTAATAAATCAGAAAATAGTATGTTTTATTATTTATAGCTAATTATTAAAAAATGATCGTCATCTTGTCAAGATTTTTTGTCCATTTTAGTAGAACTATACATTTTGTTCACACAAGGGTCATGTAAATTAATATAACGTCTTCAAAACATTATTCATTGAGGCAGGTCCTCGGTGAAAACCAAAGAAATGTCAATCTTTGGTGAAAAGGCAAGGCAATATTTTAGAATTAATCATTAGGGATAGCTACGACACAGAAAGAAATACCTTTTCACCTTTGCCATTCAATTTCAGAATCAAACATTTCCAGTGAGTTGAATTCTGAATGAACCTCCTTCTATTCTGTCCAAAATTTGCTTTCTATAGACTGGGTTGGGAGCATGTAATTGTGCCCTGTGACATCCTGCAGCCTGGCCCCTCGCATGCACTCCATGAAGGGTAGTGGGATCATTACCATTTCTCATATCGGTATTAGAAAACTAATATCCATGCAGCAATAATGACTAATCCAGGTTGCTTCAGTAACCATAGCTTCAAATTTGGACTAACCAATTTATTTCTTTCTCACATTCAACTTAAAATTTCCCAGCTAATTAATTAATGATCTAATGGTGAAGGTGCATCCTACGATTGTATTTTACCTTGAGTCTGAGTAAGAAAAAAGTGGGTCCAAGACGAGTATATTAAACTTAAATAAGGCAATTACAAGCTGATAGCAATTACAGAAATATGGCTGCATGACACAGATTGGGATAATGACTAGTGACGGGTTCATGACATTTAGAAAGGACATAAAGCTGGGAAAGGTGCAGTGGTGGGCCTGTTAATTAATGATATTAATAGCACAATAGAGGGGGAATACCTAAATTCAGGTAACAAGGATGTAAAAGCATTTGGATAGTGATAAGAAATGAGTCACTTTTGCGAGTGGTGTACAAGCTCTATAACGGTAATCACACAAGATGTAACTTAAAGGAGAAACAGTGGGAGCTTGTCAGAAATATGCAGTGATCATCACAAGGAACTTTTTAATCTATTGATAGACTGGAAATAGCAGATGGATACACGTAGCCTAGATGATGAGTTCATAAAGTTTCTGGCTAATTTCTTAAAACAGCACATTCTGGAGCCAACTATATAGCAGGCTAAACAAGACCTGGTATTGTGCAGTGAGATTAGATTAATTAATAACCTCATAGTGAAGGCCATTCCAGGTGGCAATGATCAAAAAATAATTGAATTTTACATGAAGTCTGAGATAGAATAAGACGGATCCAAGACTAGTCATTCAAACCTAAATAAGGGCAATTATAAGGGCATCAAAGTGGAGATAGCTAAAGTGAACTGGCAAATTACATTAAGGGATAGGTCAATAGAGATTTAGTGGCAGTTATTTAAAGGGATATTTTAAAATACACAGAATAAATACATTCCAACAAGAATGAAAAATCTCTAAGGCAAGGACTCACCATCTGTGGTTACCTAAAAAAAGCTAAAGATTGCATAAAACTGTAAGAAAAAAACCCATAAAGTTGCTCAAAAATGGTTGGCAGGTGAGAAGATTGGACAGAATATAAAACAAAGCAGTAAAGAATGACCAAAAGATTAATAGAAAGGCAAAATTAGAGGACAAGAGAATGCTAGCTGGGTATATAAAAATATTAGTAACAGTTCATATTTTAGAAAGAAAGGAGTTAACAAAAGTGAGCACTATGGAAAGTGAATCTGGGGAAGTAAAAACGGAAACTAAGGAGTTGGCAGACAAATTAAACTGATTATTTCCATCAGTCTTCACTATAGAGGATAAAAGTAACAGCTCAGAAATAGAAACTCAAGACAATTCCATTTAGCAGGGAAGTGGTACTGAGAAACCTGTCAGAGCTGTGAACTGATAAGTCCCTAGGTCCTAATGGACTTCATTCTTGGGTCTCAAAAAAAAAATGTCTAGTGACATCATTGTCACGTTAGTTTTAATATTCCAAATTTCCCTAGATTTGGGCAAGTTTCCATTACGTCAGAAATTTGTGAATGCAAATCACGTATTCCAAAAAGGAGGATAAGTAAACAAAAACTATAGACTAGTTAGCTCAAAATCTGGCAGAGGGAAACTCTTAGAAGCAATTATTAAGAAAGGTTATACCAGGGCACTCAGAAGAGTTGAAGGTAATCAGGCAAAGTCAATATTATTTTGTGATATGTAATCATGTTTTTTTTATTAGAATCCTTTGAAGAAGCAACCTGGGCTGTTGTTTAAGAGAAACTAGTGGACACATTTACTTAGATTTTCAGAAATCATTTAATAAACTACCATATCAAATGTAATTGCAGAAAATAAAAGCTCCTGGTGTAGGGGGCAACATATTGGCAGGGATAGAAGACTGCCTGGCTAACAAGATAAAGAGAGTCGGCATAAATGTGTAACAAAAATAGAAATTGCTGGAAAAGCTCAGCAGGTCTGGCAGCATCTATGGAGAGGAATCAGAATTAACGTTTTGAGTCGAGTGACCCTTCCTCAGAACTTCCAAGGAATTCCTCATAACTCAGAGCTCATGCTCTGAGGAAGGGTGTCTCAACCTGAAATGTTAACTCTGATTTCTCTCCACAGATGCTGCCAGACTTGCTGAACTTTTCCAGCAATTTCTATTTTTGTTTCTAATTTACAGCATCTGCAGTTCGTCTGGCTTTTATTAGGCATAAATGCGTAATTTTATGGTTAGCTAGATGTTAGCAGTGAAGTGTAACATGGATTTGTGCTGATGTCTCAACTTCTTACCATTTATATCAATGTTTTGGAGGAAATGACCAAATGTATGTTTGCTGAGTTTGCTGATGGCACAAAATTAGGTAGGAAAGTAAATTGAGAAGATGACATAAGGAGGATAGAAAGGGATACAGATAGGTTAAGTCAGTATGCAAAGTTCCAACAAAATGGAGCATAATGTGGCAAAATGTGAAATCCTTCACTTCGGAAGGAATATAAAAATGAAGCATAAATGTTGAGAGATTGCTAAGTTGTGAGATGCAGATGGAACTGGGTGTGCACAAGCATAAGTTGAAAAAGGTTACTATGCAAGAAATTATGAAATCATAATAGAATACTAGAAGAATTTTATCCTTTACTTTGAGAGAAATTGAATATACAGTAGGGCAGTCATGTTAAGTTATCCAATGCATTGGAAATATCATTTCTGAATTGCACACAGAATTAGTCTCCTCATTTAAAGAAGGATGTAAATACATTGGAAGTAGTTCAAAAAAGGATTACCAGACAAACACCTGGAATGGGCAGATTGTCTTTTCGAAAATTTTGAACAGACTCGGCTTGTATCTGGTGGCGTTTAGGAAAGTAAGAGGTGACTCAATTGAAACAAAGAAGTACCTGAGGGATTTTGACAGAGTGCATTTGGAAAGAGTTTTCTTCTTGTGGGCAAATCTAGAACCAGGGGCCACCTTTAAAAATAAGGGATCCCTTTTAAGACAACAATGAACAGAATTTCTTTGTCACAGTGGGTTGTGAGTCTTTGAAGTCTCTTCGTCAAATGGAGGTAAAAGAAGTCTTTGAATATACTTAAAATACACAGATAGATTCTTGCAAAGCAAGGGAGTAAAAATGTTATTGTGAGGAAGCGGCAAAGTGGAGCAATCCGATCAGTCATGATCTTACTGAATAGAACAGCAAACATGAGGGGCTAAGTGGCCGACTTCTGCTCCTAATTTGTATGTTCATACATTTCTTGCTAATGTTGTTCACACGTGCATAAGGACGTAAGGGGGATGTAGATGGATACAGTAGGTGGGCAAAAATCTGGCAGATGGCGTACAATGTGGAAAATGTCAAGCTGTTTACTTCGGCAGGAAAAGTGAAAAAAAAGCTATTAGCTAATCACAGAATACCAAGGTGCAAAGGGATCGAGGTGTTCTAGTCCATGAGCTACAAAAAGTTACTAAGCAATGTCAGAATGTAATTAGGAAGGCTAATGGAATGCTATCCTTTACTATAACAAGAAGTGAATATGGAATGAGTTATTTCAGTTATGTGATGTGAGTGGTTATTATCTACCAACATAGATGTGATCAGGCTACATACAACTGAAGGTCATTCTGATTTAAGAGTATGTCTCAAATATTCATAACATTGGTAACTGTGCACGGTCATAGGAGATTTCCAGCTCCATTTGTCCAATCAGTCAATTGTACAATTGGTTAACCGTCCTATGCTAAATTTTGAAAATTGTGTGGCTTGGAAGGGAACTTTGCATCTGCTTCCCTTGCCTTCAAGGTGAGAGAGGTCACTGATTTGCAAAGTGGAGTCAAAGCAGCCTTGGTGAGTCACTGCAGTGTATCAAGCAGATGGTATACAACAATGCCATTGTGCATCGGTAGCCAAGGGCATGAATGTTGAAGCTAGTGCATTTGGTGCCAATCAAGAGGGCTGATTTGTCCTGTATAGTGTTGAGCTTCTTGTGTATCTTTGTATCTCTGATATAGCTACTACATTAAATCCTCCATAGCTGCTCAAGATTCTATCACACTACTGATCTGTACCTTGTAGATGATGGATAGACTTAGGGGAGTCAGGGAGGACATGTTGTAGAACTTCCAGGCTTTAACCTACTCTTGTAGTC